ACTTGAAATAAACGCGACCCTGTCATTACCGGTCGAGTTAACGCCACCAGGACTGACAAAAGGCCATTATCAGTGAATTATACACAATATCACAACCAAGTTTGGTTGTTGCCTTAGGGTAAAAAGTAATAACAAGAGTGATTCAACTGATATACTGTGTAACGTTTTGTCGTAAACCGTTTCAAATAAGTGTAAATATAGGAATATTATATAATCTACATTATATAATATTTCTTTATATAATAATCTACATTTGTATAAAAGAAATAATATGGATTAGTCTTGTCTGTGATTTAATTGCAGTAAAAACTGGAAATAACTTTTTTCGAATATTTTATCCGGCATAATATTATTGCAAATGTTCACAAGATTTATGTAAATAATCAGTTTAACTAATTGTTTGTTTTACATTTAGTTAGAGATTCAAATTATACAAACTGGATGAATATATTATTTAATGGATAGCATGTCTTTTTACATACCGGAACCGGAGACCCTTTTTACTGGAAACTAGACATTCCATCTTAGTCCTCACGGGTGACAACGCATCTGCGTTTTGGTTCGTAATTCGTAATAGGTGTAGATGTCTATGAGCCACAGCAACCACTTACCATCAGGTGGACTGTGCGCTCGTTTGTCACCTTATCCTATAAAAAAAGTATAAGTATAAAAATGGATTAGCGAAAAATAGAACGTCGTGTTGCTACGAAACATTAAAAAAAAAACAAGTTTTATTTTTTTATGTCTTTGACACCAATATTTTGGAATTGCTGGTGGATAAGAGGATCCAGGTGTTGTAAGTATAAGATGCAACGTGCGCTATACTCTCTCGTATTTACGCCACCCGTAAAATATTCAGCCGTTTTTGTTCTTTAGAACGATTTATATCCGGACATTAAATGTTGCTGCCATACGCGCCCACAATATATTCAAGAGACAAAGTATCGAGCAGCCAAAAGTAAGTAGTAAGTTCTTCGCAAACAATACAAATCAAAATTTGTATCAGTTTGCGCTTCGTAACATTTGATTTTATTTCGGAGGGAGCGAGCGGCGATGTTGACTCAAGTAATTTGTTCTTTGTTTCTTGCCTACTTATTTAAATAAAACACGACAACTGATTGATGCCGCAACGTTTCCCCGTTTTCTGTTAATACTTTAAAAATTATTTTTAAATCCTAACTTAACCTTTCCAAATCGTTATCTGAAAACATTGAGTTAACATATAAATCAATGTCTGAAAATAATAGAATTTGCTTAATAATTAGTCTATTATTTCCCTTCTAAATTATGTGAATATGAATTTACAGCAAAGTCCCAAAAATCTTAATTATTTTTTATTTTTTAAGTTAAACTTAAACTTACCTTCGTGTAATAGGTTATTGAATTTCTTCTCAATTTATTTTTTAAAAACTATGATTCGAAATGATTAATCGATAACAACCTCAATAGCCTATGATACAAGCATTCACATTATTTTCATCTGGGCTACCCAAAGAAAACTGTTAATCTCTGTTAACTCTTCATTTACTATATCAGCCACTTTAGATAGAACGACATGGTCAATAAAGCTTGTTGACTATGCTCAAAAGAAAAATACCGCGGTAGTTTTTAAAGTTGCCGCGGTACTCTTTACGTCTTTATAGAGTACCTAGTGACTAATGATGTAGAAGATACGTATATCTTGAGGCACATACTTCTATTAGAGGTATGCTTGGCCGAAAGAAACATAATGAAAAAAAAAATTAATTCAATCTAAAATTTTAAAGGTTTGTTTTCTGTGAAGTCTTCGTATGTAGAGTTTTTAAAGCGTGTCAAACGCAACTTTAACAATCTACGATCGCGATCACAGTGACAGCCGTAGCTTTGTGGCGAAGAATACGCCTTGACAGTATCAATAATAGTTCATTTGCAGCGCTGTTGACACGCACGTGGGAAACCACGCCGACTGCGCCTTAAAATATAAACGTGTATAACGCAAATTAAGCTATCATTATAATGTTCAGCTTAATAATAAGCTAATGGTATGATTGTAGTCATGCTAAGTTACCACGTTTTTATTGACTCGCTTTTGTGTATGTTCGGGTTGAATTTAGTAATTGATTTTAAACTAACTGCCCGATGAGCTAGAGACTTGAAGTTTTGAGCATAGCTCAGAATCGAAGGACACTGTTAAAATATGAAAGAATGTATATTAAAAGAATTTAATACGTAAGTTTTTATACTTCACTTGTATATATGTAAAGACGGAATAAACGGTAAACAAGAAATAGTGCGTACTAAATTGAATTTTATTCCACCTAAATACCTTACAGCCTTACGCGAGGTGACTGCTAATTAAAATACGTTTAAATCCATGGCGTTATCAACTTTATTTCCAGCAAACTGTTTACAGAGGGCCCTCTACTGTCAGCGCTTCATTCGTAATTTCCAGACTTACTGATCCAGGTATCGCCACGCATCGTATGACATTTTATTCATGTTCATGTCCCAATATATAAACACAGCATAATTAAGCGTGTGATGTCGCCTTTTATTTCGCAGTACACTTTCTATAAACTTTATTATTGCTTTTATAGCAGTACACACAGATACAAAAAGTAAAACTTTAAAATACTTTCATCAAAGCGTAAAGGTAATTTCGTATATAACCTCCAAAAATAACGCTGTTTTTCTTCTATTATTACTTTCAAGAGTCTCATAACTTTAAATAACATTACTCCGTCTAGGAGATAAGCCGTTCCTAAACTTTTAGCACAAGCTTTTTACACAAGTTTAAGATAATAAAACGCGTGATTATTTGAGAGTCGATTGAACCTTTATAATCCACAATAAAGCCATGACGTACAGTCGTGCAACACTACATGGCTTAGTGGACTTATAACTTACTTCGTTTGTAAAGACTGCATTGGCGCCTGACGGCTGTACCAGCTTAATTCATAATAACATTTACACGAGAACAACATCAACGTTCGGATTATATCTGAAATACTTTTTGCGTGCCAACATCTTCATAATACTGCTAAAAATTAAACAAATTGTGGAAAAGTACTTTTATAAATGGCACTTTTTAAATTTAATGTTAGATTCAAATTAGACTTGCAACGAATATTCGGCTATTATTCGGTATTCGGCCTATTCGGCTACTTTTATCCTATTCGGTCGAAGACCGAATACTTAAGTAAAAAGTTTTAATGTAGCCAGATAATTGGTAAAATGAACATATTTTTTTCTCGTAATCATTAAAGTAGTCATAGGTAATTAATCAACTGCCATGTTGTAAAAATTAAAAAAGAACTACTTGTCAGATACTTGTACAGAATTATCGTAATTAAAGTGGAAGATAATAGTTCAGAAAGACTAATTTTTCTTCATTTTCAGACAGTAGGTTACTCCTTTTCTTTACGTAGACAATCCCCCAGCTTCAGAGAATAGACGCTCTGAATAAACTCTGCTTCCTTTCCGGCCGAATACTTTTGCCAAATATTAGGCTATTCGTCCAGAAAATCCACAGAGTATTTGGTAGTCGGCGTGTGGCCGAATATACTATTCGTTACCAGTCTAATTTAAATATAATGACAACAAAGTAAAACAATGAAGGAGGAGTGTTAAATTCTTGTTAGCATGATAATTTTTCAAATCAATGAAACTGAATAAAAACTATGAAGGTGATGACCTCCTGAGCATTTTTGAGGTTGATGTCTTTCTGGCCGATTATTTAATTAAATTCAACATTTTCCAACAAATGCGACAAGCGGTGTTACAGTATCACAATCCACAGCTGCCATGCGTAAACACATAACACATTCATCGTAATGAATATATGCGCGGCTTAATATATGCCATAATATCTGTGATAAGGTATAGGTTTAAGACATTTTTACTATAAGAGCTCTTAGATTAAGGAGCGTAGCTTCAAAGAGAATAGACAATGACAATTGTATAAATGTTGGTTTCGGGTGGAATTCGGACGCGAGAACCACGGCGTTATACCTAGCAAAGTACTATAGATTACGCGGTCATATTATAATATAAATAAATAAGATCCAACCACAGGCCGGAACCGGAAGAACTTCGCTGAGGGGGAACCAACGAGCGAGGATTAGAAACTAAAATTCCACCTGGTGGTAAACGATGATAGAGCTCTATGGCAAATAAGAATTGTCTTAGCGTTAAAATTACAGCCTATATACGTCCCACTGCTGGGCACAAGCATCCTCTCCCTTCTGAGAGGGTCTTAACGTAACAAAACAATATTCAAATTTAGCTTGAAGACACCAAGATCGTCCATTCTATTGAACGGAAATACAGATGGCGGCAAATTATTCCACTCGTTTGCTTTACGCATTACGTAAGACGAAGCAAAGCGTTTCATTCGAATGCGTGGAATATCGACAACAAAGGAGTGAAACCCCGCCGATCGGCTGATTTCCCTATCTTACTCTTACAGTACTAAAATAAACCAATTTTAAGACATGTTTTAACTTGAAGTGAATAGAACTTTATATTATTAATAGGGCCTATATTAAATATTTTCCCATTTCGCACATAGTTTTCGAGATAATAGCAAAATAAACAGTTTAAATGATTTATCGATAATCGAACTACTTACCCAAAGACTATTATTTTAGATCTACAGCTGGGCTAATAACTGTGTATTATCGATATATATCTATCTACTATTTACTACCTCTTATCGTTCCGCGGGTGTCGTGAGCGGCGACAGAGGAAAACTAAAACAGGAGATAGGCAGCAGCATCTTTTTCATAACAAATCAAAGTAATAACAACTATGGTTGCAAACCCGCCTGCCAATTAGGCGATTATAGCAATCTATGGGGGAAGCCTGTTCAGCAGTGTACTTTTGTAGGGTGTCATGGCATGGATGCGCTGAGTTATTTATTAAGCTCTACGACAATTTCGCGGGTAAAAGCTAGTTATTAATAAAACACGACATATTACGCGAGTTATTGTGAGTACGTGTGCATGTGTGCGCGTGTGCAGGTCTGTGGGCGACAACGAGCTGGAAGAGCTGGAGGGGCTGGGCGGCGCGCAGGCGCTGCGCGTGCTGCGCGCGCCGCGCAACCGCCTGCGCCACCCGCCCGCCGCGCTCGCGCTGCTGCCGCGCCTCCAGGCGCTGTGAGTCCTACCCCTCACCACCCACCACCTGTTTTACATAATTACGGTGATAAAGCAAGGAAATGAAAAGCAGAAGATGTGTGTGGCTGCACTCGTGCCTCGCGGTTCTGTGAGTCCACCCAACCGACCACCTGTTTTACAGAATTAGGGTCACTTATAGTGGTAGAGCGACTTTGCAGCTATATTATGGTTGTAGCACGAATGGGTCGGCTCGGAGGACCACGCTCTCACAGAATACTAGCGTAAAATGGCAGCTAAATGCTGCTGTGTTTTATGTGTTGAGTGTAGAGAACCGGACACCCTTTTTACTGGAAATGAGGCATTCCATTATCTATGTGCCACAGTATCCACTTACCATCAGATGGACTGTGTATTCGTTTGTCATCCTTATTCTATTATATATCGATCCTCGATTAAGAATCAAAATACAAATGCGTTGTTACCTCTGAGAACTAAGATGGAATGCCTCGTAACCATTAAAAACGAGTCTATAGTTCTCTACACTCGCCATACAAAATACCATAAAAACTGCGGTTACCATCCCGCCTGTCAAGCTGACAACTGAGACAATTATTTCTCCCTATAGAGATACCCGAGAGGCCCATGTTCAGAAGTGGACTTTACTGAGGTTGTTATGTTGTAATGTTACGTTTTACGTATTATGTTTCTTAGAAAAAAACAACGCTGGTACAATAGATGCGCAGACGTACGTGTATTGACTCAATACTTTTGAATATGTACACATCCACTTTTACAACCGGAGGCATGCATAAAATGATGTGTAATCAAGAAACAGGCATAGTTATGTCGTAAAGCTTGATTATTGATATTACATCGTATCACTATCGATAACTATCGGTATCGGTAACAACAACAGTTATTGAGGTGAACTTTAGTTAGATATTATGTGCATAATCTGTCATAAGTTTTAATATCAAGTGTCTAGTGGTGGCATTTGACGCGGAGAATCCGCTAAGGATAGGCACAAATTGAGGTTACAAACAAACCTACATCCTATTATTAAGTGGCGAAACTTGCGAAGTCACTTATTGATTTCACGATTTCTGTCCGTCTGTCCGTCTGTCCGTCTGTCCGTCTGTCCGTGTGTCCGTCTGTCCGTCTGTCCCACGGTTATCTCAAGAACGGTTTCGAATTTTCAAATTCTGTTTTCAGCAATCGATTACTGATCACCCAGGCATCTGAACCTTCTATTTTGAAACTGATAGCTCAACGGCAACCGTTAGAAACCGCTACAAAGCTGATTGCTTCGCCACTTTGCTATGCTGTTATCTTGCTAGGTTTATTGATTAATGATAATGCTCTGCAAACACTGTAAAATAATTATTAAGTGGCGAAGCATGCGAAGTCACTTATTGATTTCACGATGTCTGTTCGTCTGTCCGTCTGTCCGTCTGTTCGTCTGTCCCACGATTATCTCGAGAACGGTTTCGAATTTTCAAATTGTGTTTTCAACAATCGATTACTGATCACCCAGGCATCTGAACCTCCTATTTTGAAACTGATAGCTCAACGGCAACCGTTAGAAACCGCTACAAAGCTGATTGCTTTGCCACTTTGCTATGCTGTTAGCTTGCTAGGTTTATTTCATATGGTTCTTAGTAAATTAACTTCGTTTTTACCCGACTGCCCCAGAAGGTGAATAATATTTTCGAATGGTTGTATGTACGTCTCTTTCTTTGGCACGCTCTGTAACCAAAATGACTTGATAAATTTTAACAAATGGGTGTGGTTGAGTTAGTCTTAGTGGTGGGTATAGTTTTTTTCTTTTTTTGAAAATTTTCTTTAGAATCGTTATGATTTAAAACTCGATGAAACGAAAAAACGGCACTTAAAAGAGACAAAAATATACATTTGTAGGAATTATGTATACTTATATATGTAATACAGTATACAGTGTTTATTATAAATTTATTAATATTTTAATTACTTATACCCTACAATTATACTATCCCGATACTTTGCATTTGTCTCACTCTCTCGCAGTGTAGTTTTCTGTATGTTTCACTTCCACCGCGTGTGAGCTGCATACATGTTTTTTTTTTATTACTGATTAACCATTGGGCTTGTCCTTCTTTCGTGTCAAGATATACTCCTACTCAAACAGTTATTTTTTTCGTATACATATAAATACATATGTAAAATACGGCTCGTCTAATGTTTCTTGGATTGTAACCGAACCCTTCATGTTACTTATTTCTGTTTTCAATAAATAATAAGGGATATATCGGAAAATATCCACAGTCCGAGCCAGCTCACATCAATTTAAATGTTATGACGTGATTATGTTCTATCGCGGCACGTCAGTATTCTGTGCGGTCGTTACGTTTATATACGCGCTGATGACGTTCATTTCTATACGATCGAGGGCAATTTTATTCGCGCCACGACGTTATTGCACGTCTATCTGGGCCACATCGTCTAGGACGCACGCAGCGCTTGCGACTAAACAAGTGACGTATGACTAGGGTTGTCAGATGCCCTTCATTTTAAAGGACATCTTCTATTTCAGACCCAATAATTGATCTTGTCTTTTAATTAACCCTCAATGCAAACAGAGGGGTGCTATATGTTTGACGTGTATATATGTGTATTTGTGTGTCTGTGGGTCTGTCCGTGACATCAAAACCACCAACAATCAAACGGATAAATTGATTTAGATTTAGTTTTTTTTTGTTTTAAGGGTGACTTCGAGTGTCCTTAGCTATGATTTAAAAAAATCTTTTCAGCCGTTTGAAAATCTTATTTCGGAGAAGTGGGTCAGCATAGGAGACTGCCTTACGAATGAGATGATTGGGGTGAGACTTTGAGGCTTTGAAGAAGTTCTCAGAGAGTGATTTTAGGAACTGTTGGACTGTGGGGAGCTCCAAGTCTCGATGGACATCGGCGTTACAGACGTACCAGGGTGCGTTCGTAGCTCGACGACAAAAATTGTTTTGAATTATTTGAAGTTCGTTAAGGATTTTGGGTTTAGCGTGAGCAAATATGGGGCCCGCGTAAGTCATAACTGGTCATATACAGAGCTTATATAGGGTTCTCTTGTTTCGTAGGGACATTTTACTGTATCGGCCCAGCATACTGTTGAGCCTACTCAGATAATAGCGCGCGTTGCGAGTTACTCTTTTGATATGGGGTCCGAAGGTGAGCCTCGTGTCAAGGTTGACTGACACCTAAGAATTTGGCGGTCGTATGCCAGGGGACAGGGGTCCCTAGCATATGGATTAGCAGAATGGTAGTGGGGCGGCGTCGTTGCTCATGTTGTATGGGATCTAAACAGGGTCTAAATAATGTACCATAAAAATAAAAAATAAACTTTCTTAATTTGTAAAAACTTCAGTAATATATGTAGAAATAAGTAATAAATGTTTCAGTTTTACTATATGTGTTAATAAGAACAGTGCTGTGTTAAAAGTACCTAAATTTGTGCTTCAAATAGTGAAATAATAATAGATTTATATAAAGAAAATTAAACTTGAATTAAAGTGTAAATTATCTTTAAATATACAATTTATTTACAATATTAAAAACTATGATAATAAAAAAAAACTAAAACTAGGAACTTAATTATCATATAGTCCTACTTCCATTTTCATCTTTAAATTGTGAATTAAACTATTGTATTAGTTAAGATATTCATGTTTATTAATAAGGATAGTTATTTTGACCATGTGTGTTAGATATTTAAGATTTCTAACTTTGAAAATGTTGTGTAAAATATGTGTTTTTGTTGAATATCTTAATATGTTTTATGTGATAAAGATGAGTATAGAGGATTTTTTTTCGAACCAGTGGTAATCATACAAAAGAGTGACTTTGAATAAGTATTATTTATAATCTATATTGAAAATAAAAAAAAATATATCATGATGATAAGACTTCGTATGTGTTTTTTTACAAATAAAATTGTGTAACCATAAGTTTTATAGAAATAAAGATATGGGGTAAAATACAAGGGTGCAATGGTGAAAATCAATGTTATGATATGTCGAAATGGCGCGCGATACGCGGTTCTCTTTCACGTATGGCTCGCGACTAGGATAGTAAACTGGTGGTTTCCAAATTCGTTCGGATTTCGAGGACCTCTTTACATGGACTGCATCTCAGGAGCCGTGCCGCCTGAGATGCATCCCATGTAAAGAGGGTCTCCTCGAAACATGAAAACCTCCTGTTCCCAGAAAGGGGACACACAAGGAGAAGAACATCACCGGAAATTCGTTCGGGACCAGCTACCAGTTTAAAGCAAGAAAGAAGGCAATAGAGAAGTGATAGGAAAAGTACAGTGAAAGTTTCAACGTTGCACTCTTATGGGGAAATTACGAAGATAAAATTGCTGATTCATTTCCTACTGCACCTTCTAATAACAAAAGAAAAATACAGTCCATTATATGACGTCAGAACCGGGACCACTCTAAAGGGACCCGTAATCTTAGTAGTCTAACCTTTCTTTTCAGAAAGGGCAACAGACGTCCTCGTGTGACACTCCTTCACGGGAGTCACATCCACCTCGTTGTTCCCGAACCCAACGTGGTGTGATTTCAGTTTAGTGGGGTAGAACGTCTATGACTGAGTAACCCATGTCTGTTGGACCCTTTCAAATATATTATGCTTTATTTTCATCCTTTATTTAACCATAACAAATCCTCTAAAACATGAAATCTGTGCTGGTAACCCTACGTATGAGCCCGCATCACGCACTAACCCTACACCTACACGCATGGAGAAATCTAACGAATATTAATTGCATGTGAAATGTCACTAATCTTCAAATTAACGTCCGAACGTGGTTAATTACACGTACGTTCTAGAAAAATTTTGCAAGTTGAGACTTGCAAAACAGAACCAGATCAGTAAATATCAAGGCTCGTTTTAATATATATGCCATTTGATGTAAATTCAAAATGTTAATTGAACTTTTAAATTTCTTGTTCGTAGTATTTTTATTTAACAGAAATTGCACTTTGCTTTTTTGCACCCTATACACAATATTAAATTGAGATAATATTTAAATAACTATAGTCTACTACTAAAATTTGATATCAGCAAATAACGCAGTATCCAGGTGCAACTTCTTCATTATTCTTGTTTTTGTGTCTAGGAACCTGGCCGGCAACTTGATCAGCGAGCTCACGAATGCTTCGTTCCCACCGCTGCCGGCGCTGCACACGCTGTGAGTACCAATTAGATTTTGTCTTTGGTCTAATAATTGCTGAGAATAATGTTCTGGTTTCGAAAGTTACCGTTACCGTTACAGCCTATTAAAGTCCACTGCCGAACGTAGGCCACATCATAAAGAGGATATTTCCCATAGTTGCCACGCTTGGCAAACGGATCGGCAACCGCCACTTTTTTATATTTAGTCGTTGCAAGGCACTGCTGCCCATCTCCTGATTTTTCCCCTTTGTCGCCTTTTACTACACACACGGGAGGATATAGGGTAGTGGATATTCTCTTAGATTTTTTCTTAGCTCTTATAGTTGCTGAGATGTTCCCCGGCAGATTTCGACTTAGCCAACAATATACGGGCTGTAGTTTCGAAAGTTATCAAAGCTTAACACACAGTAGAATATCTTAACACAAACATAGGCGTCCGCTCGTGGTAACACCGATTTTAGACGTAAGTATATCTTACGGCTGATTTTCCTTCTTTTCCAACTTGTAAAAGTCCACTTCCAGATACGATCCTCTCCCATTATAAAGAAGATTTATCTTAATTGCACGATCTCACCTCACAGAGGGATTGGATATCGCAGATCCACACGTTTTCCATATTTGACGCTGCTTCTAAGGTCTTTGTATATGGTATAAGATAGTTCAACCGCATATCGAAAGCTATGATATGTTTCTGGCATTCGCATAGTGACCTCTTCCTACACCCACGAGACGAAATACAGTGAAAGCTTCTCTTGGACCACCATACACGGCAAGATTAAAATGAAAGTGTTATTAGTGACAAAGCGAATTCAGATCCCAATATCAACAACATACGTTTTACAGTAATTTTGTCTGAGATTGTACAGAACTAAGCCGTACGATCGTAAGTGATTTCTAAACCAAACGTTAATAGTATAGTGAAATTTATACATTTTTGTTGCAAATTAAACTCTAATAATTAGTTGTGCTTAATAATTAGATGTGACAAAACGGTCTGTGACTCAGTTGTAACGGGAACCCCGTTACTCATGCTATTCTGCCACAGCCCATGCGCGTTAACCATTCAGGCTCTTAGGCAAGTGATGATGAATTAAATAAATTTTTGGGCATGATAGGTCTCCAGTTGTTCGCAGGGAGATCCCCAGCCGCGTGGTCTGTCATATTCGTTGTAATGGTAGCATATGGTTGTGTAAGGAGAAGTAGAGCACGCACACATGTATGGAGGCGGTACGAAGGTGAGCGGGCCTGCTCATTGAGGCGCGAGCGCGTTTGTCTAATTGTGAATGTGAGCGCCGGAGGCTGCGAGCCGTACCAATGTCACTCACTTCTATTTTGCGTTTGCTATGGCTTTCAAACAAATAATTATATCCGTAATGCCCTTAAGCGGTACGCAAAACAAGTCAAGTTTACTGATTTATGTGTCACACGCTTAAAAAGATAAACCTGTACGTAAAATATTTTCATTACTTTTCTAAACATTCTCTGAGGCAAGAGTACCCTTTGAGTCAAGTTTCACAATTGTTCAACATGGTTTTAATACTATTCAATGTTAAAATCGCTATAGGAATTAGTATCAAACAATACATATGCATTTGTATGGGAACTGGAACTTCAAGGTCTTTCCTTTGCTTATTCCTTTCTAAAAGACAAGTGACAATCCTCTAATGTTGCAAATGTACCTCTTCTATAAAAAAAGATATTGGGCATTAATCAAACTCATGATTGACCGGTCCTACTATCCATTAACATTGTTTGATTGGAGCTACTTTTGATTTCTTATATTCACGCAAACAATACTTATTTGTTTGGTGTCACTGGTTTCATTTAAATGGGCTACTTTTACTTATTTTTTTATGTACTTTTACGTCTACTGCAATTTAATTAGAGTGTTCAAACATTGTGCGATTGATTGATTAAGTTACCTCCGACGCGCAGCAATGACCGTGCCGAGTCCAACGTCAATAGACGAAGCGAGTGCAAACAGCGCAGTGCTTGATACAACGTGGTATGTAATTACGAGTATCTACATTCTACACGATTTATTGCATATGTTTCAAACCATGCCTTTGCAACGTGTTAGTTGAACGCGTGGGTAAGACTAAGCAATCTATTTTATATTGTAAAATTTATTATGACATAATCCATCTTGCATTAAAAGTTATAATATGTTCATTATAAGATATTAGATATTGAATTTTGATAATAAACTTTCAAAATGCTTCTTCGTACCATTCTTCTTTCTTCTTGGAAGGTTTTCTTAGTGGGATTTTTGAGTTTAAAATAGTTTGATACTCCACCAGCAGACGTTTAAAAACCGAATTAATTATCTTGCTACGGGAAGGTAGACTTATTTTTAGAAATAGAAACTGAAAGTTTTTAATTCAATACGAATTATAATTAATATTTCTTGAAAGTCACTCTTTTGTTTAATTTACTACTTACTGGTTTGGAAAATTCCTATGTCTTGGGACATTGTACAATCTTAAGTTACACAATAATTAACAACACAAGATAAATTAGAAATGAATCGGTAGCGATCACCCGTGTGAATGGTGCGCTGCTACAATTTGCAGTTCAGTAAAAATTAACAGTATAGCCGGACCTCACTGTATACGGACGGCATATCGTCTAGCCTGAACTCTATTTATTGTGTTTGCAAAATGAATCTAAATATTAAATCATCAGTAATGACTATGAGTTTTTCCATGTATTGGTGCAATTGGAGAATCCATCATCCCGTTTCGTCCCGTATTTGCGTAAGGGACAACTATAGAATTTATAAAACATCTTATTTAATGGCTTCTAATAGATGTCGTTTAACCATCTCATTTTTTTATAGGATAGGGTGACAAACGAGCACACAGTCCACCAGATGGTAAGTGGTTGCTGCGGCCCATAGACATCTACATCTATCTTCGATTACGAATCAAAATCCAGATGCGTTGTCACCCGTAAGGACTAAAATGGAATGCCTCGTTTCCAGTAAAAAGGGTCTCCGGTTCTCTACACTCACCACACGAAACACAGCAGTGTTAAGCTGCTATTTAACGCTGGTATTCTGTGAGAGCGTGGTCCTTCTCCTGTCGAGCCGACCCACTTGCGCTACAACTATACTACTTATATAGCTGCAGCTTGGCTCTACCACGTATAAAATTACCACGTATACATTTACTCCAGGCGTAACATATCCAGATCGACGACTGGAAAGAGCGTCAAAGTTGCGAAACGTCTCGTATTCAAATCCGCCTGCCGATGCAAAGCCTACCTTAAATAGGAAAATATCATGGTCAGCAGTGTACTTTTACGGGCTGATAAAAAAATTAGATAATGGGTAATGACCCCTCTCAATGTTGCATCCAGTTGGCGCACTCTTTGAAAGCCTTCTATCCAGCAATTAATTCAGAGAGGTAGATATTACGGTTCAGTCATTAAGTGCGCTCCTGTAGCGGGACAGTTGATATGTCCGCTCATCCGTACATATCAGAGCAGAACGAGGGGAAATGGGAGGGTCAAGGAAGGGTAGAGCGTTATCACAGTCGTTATGGCGGCGTATTTAATGCGGCTGTTGCGCGAACGGGCAACGATTAATCGGCAAATCTTTAGTATTAAACAAGATTAAGTAACGAATAAACGGTCGCTATCTCGCCGGCAACGCTAATGTTTACTAAGTTATGAGTTCGTCAAATCGTAAAAATATTTTTAAAAATCTTTTGGCAAGTTTTAAGTAGTAAATGCAATAAAATCAGGCTATTGACCTTCCCTAAATAAAAAAAAACTAAAACTAGCCAGACATAATATACAAGGAAAATTTTCATTACATTCTGATACTACAAAAATATTTGAGTGATAGAGACAAACTGCATTATGGTTGTGGTACGAATGGGTCGGCTCGACCCGGGTAGGACTTTCGTAGGGTGAATGTAGAGAACAGTAGACCCTTTTTACTGGAAACGAGGCATTCCATCTTAATCCTCAGGGGTAACAACGCTTCTGCATTTTGATTCTTAATCCAGGATAAATATAGATGTCTATGGGCCACAGGATCCACTTACCATCAGTTGGAGTTCAATTCGACGTATAAATTATATTCATCGTCATAATAAAGAGTCCATTACAAATTCATTATAGAAAACAGGCCTCCTCCAAAGACTGCAGCAACACAAGTTGCGGAGCCACCTGCATCCATCAAATCCCTGTACGTTTTTAAATAAAACTAATTTTACGGATTTTATCGCGTATATTAACTTATTTTTATATTCCCGACGTTTCGGGGTGACCACGGGTGCTGGAAAGCACCCGTGGTCACAAGTTAATATACGCGGTAAAATCCGTAAAATTAGTTTTATTTAAAAATGTGTAGTGTTCGCGTAAATATAAGAAATCATTAAATCCCTGTACGTTTAATCAAGTCGTCACTAAATCTAAGATTACATTCCCATCTGTAGTACTAAATTTAAGATAGTAAATACAGGATGTGCAATCTAACGCTTGGAATCGGAACTATAGGTTATTTTGAGGTTGGAAGGTTTGATGACATTTCCGATGTGACAGAAAGTTAGTTTTATGTTTGACATTTATGAAATGGGTCGCTTTAGCTTGAACAAAGTTGGGAAATATTAAAAACATATTTCCAAAGTGGTAAGTCCTCTACTCAAACTGTAAGAATTTTACAAAAAAAAATTAATAAAAATGATGTGCCAAAAACGCAGTTTTTGGATCAATTCGTGAAGCGAGTTTGTGAAACTGGATCGTTGTTGGATAAAACAACCCGTGTACGTACTCGTCCAGTGCGCTCAACCTCAAAAACATCGCTGCTTGCTCAGACTGTGCGTGAACAAATATGAACATCAACTCGTGATCGTTCTCAAGAATTGAACATTTCACTCACTTCTTTGAGAAGAAATTTGCATAAATATCTCGGTATAAATGCGTACAAAGGGCAATTAGTGCAAGAGCTGAAGCCGCATGACCATCCGATGCGTTTTCGGTTTGCTCGGAGCATTTTTACCGAAAAAT